TGCAGATTATCCTGGCCCTGAAACAAAAGCTTTGGAATGGACCAAAAGGGAGGCAAGGAGAGAGCCCCCAGAGAGGAATCAAAGTGGCTGGTAGAAATCGAGCTCTCTGGATGCTGATTTTTGCATTGGACTGGGGCTACAACCAGAATGTTCCACCAGCAGGTATTTAAGGCTCAAAATATTCGCAGTTCTGTTAGCCCCCAGAAGGGTTTTCCATTGGAGTTAATGCTGGCAGGTGTTCCCCCATCTAAATGCCATCTGTTTTCATAGGGAAGAAAATTAGAAGACAAACGACCGTTAACATTGCCTAACCTCTGCTTCAGGACACCCCTTGACTGTTCCACTGAGCCGATCACAAATGACGTTTGCCACCTCCCCTGCACCGCACCCCCACCACGTCTTAGGCAATTAGGCAACCATACATACACAGATCGGCAGCTTGGGTGGGGCAAGATGTAGGGGTCCCCTTCAGTTTGCACCTCAGAGCCAACAGGCACTCCCACATCCTTTGTTGCAGACTGCTTAGGAAACATTACCAGCTGATGTAATTGCCCTAGCATGTTTCCATCTTGTGAGAGTGTTCCTGAGCACGACATGAAGCCTTTCCCAAGCTGGTGTGTCACTTCCATTGTCACTCACCCCACTTCCATTTGAAGATGACAAAATCCACTCCCTGACTCTGCTTCCCAGTAGATTTTTTGGCTAGTAGATACAATACACAAGAAATTCTCAATGATATAATTTCTCATGTGCACACTGCCTTCAACAATCCTTTTTTAAAGATTTATTTATTTTTATTGGAAAATCAGATATACAGACAGGAAGAGATACAGAAAGGAAGATCTTCCATCCGATGGTTCACTCCCCAAACAGCCACAATGGCTGGAGCTGGGTCAATCTGAACCCAGGAGCTTTCTCCAGGTCTTCTGTGCAGGTGCAGGATCCCAAAACCTTGGGCTGTCCTCGACTGCTTTCCCAGGCCACAGGCAGGGAGCTGGATGGGAAGCGGGGTTGCTGGAACATGCACCAGCACCCATATGGAATCCCAGCCGGTGGAAGGCAAGGACTTTAGACGCTAGGCTGCCATGCCTAACCCCGACAACTCTAAAGTCCCTGTGCCATAAGCTATCTCGAGTCTTGTCTTTATCTTCACTGATGAAAACTCTGGCAGTCTTTGCTATGAAATATTACAGAAGTTTGTATGTTGCTGGTGGCTAAGGATGCTGACCATTTAATATAAGACAACCTCTCTCTAAAGCTGGGGTTCAGAAGTAGGATTGAAAACTTCCTCATAAATACATCCAATTTGAGACATGTCGTTTAATCTATGCTTTGTGAAAATTACCTATCTATAAACCATTTAATATTGTTGGCTATGTCTGATATCATCAGAAATTGAAAGGCCAGTGTTGTGCCAGGTAGAAAGCCACTGCCTGCAAGGCCAGCCTCCCATGTGGGCATTAGTTTTTTGCCCCAGTTACTCCATTTCTGACCCAGCTCCCTGCTAATGAGCTGGAGAAAGCAGTGAAAGAAGATCCATTTGTTTGGGCCCTGGCCACCCAAGTGGGAGACTCAGAGGAAGCTCCTGGCTCCTGTCTTAAGCCTGGTCCAGTTCCCCTTTTCTTGTGGTTATCTTGGTGAGTGATGTAGTCAATGGAAGAGCTACGTCTCCATCTCCACCTCTTCTCATCACCCTGTGGCTCTGACTTTCAAATACATCTTTGGCTCCAGCACTGTGGCATGGTGGGTTAGAAGGCTCCTTGCAGTGCCAACGTCTCATGTGAGTGCCAGTTCATCTCCCCGCTGCTGCTCTTGCAATCCAGCTCCAGCTCCTTGCTTATGTTCTAGGAATACAGCAGAAGATGGCTCAAGTGCTTGGAACCCTAGCACCCATAGAGGAGACCCGGAGGAAGCTCCTAGCTCTTGATTTCCGTCTAGTCCAGCCCCAGCCATTGCAGCCTTGTGAGCCAATGGATGGAATGCCTCTCTCCACATTTCTCTCTGTCTCTGTCTCTCTCTCTCTCTCCCTCCTCTCTGTAACTTTGTCTTTCAAACACACAAAATAAAAAGCTTTAAAAAAAAAAGAATTGAAGTACTCCTCTGAGATTTTTCCCAACAGTGACCATCCTATCTCATCTCTCTCTGTGTGTCAGCATTTCGAATCCACAGATGGTGATAAATCGATAACACTGGGTGTTTAACCGATGTGCATCATCAACTCGAAGCTGGTGAAAGCAAGCTATGATTATTTTCACTTAGGTTAATAAGCATTCCTGACTATCAGCTGGGTTGAAGCAGTAGTCAAAAATGACTACTATAAAAAACGTGTTTCTGCTCTTCACCAATGTAAAATGAATCATACATATGTGTGTGTGCGAGTGTGTACACTACATCTTTTTAATAGATAGACTCAAACAGAAAGCAGTGTATGCTGGGGGAGGGCATAAAGTCACACTGACTTACCATTAATTAATTTTTCCCCTAAATCTAGTCTGAGATTGAGAATTTCCCATTTTGATCCCTGAAGTAGCAGTCCGTACAGGTTTCCCACTTGCCGTGTACTCCCTGTGAAATATCGACAACCTTGGTTAAATAATCAAAACAAGCAGTGCAGTTTTAAAGCACTGCTCAATTTTCACTTAAAGATGGCACATAATTCTTGCCAGTGTTGCAGCCTTTACAGTGGTATTGATCCTTTTCATTACTGCGAGAGAATTCATCAACAGATGTCGACGTGTAGGATGCTCAGAAGCAACAACTAATACAATTTGGAAGAAACTGATAAGAATTCTGTTAGTAGTTGAAACTTCCAAATATACAGTATATCCAAATAGGCAATCAAAAGGCCATGCCAGAACACCTACGTTTATCTAGTAAAAGGATTGTGTCTGACTGTAGCAGGCCAAAGACCATTTCAGGTTCCCACAACAGCAAAACAGGATTTCATTTCAGATCTGTCTTCTCAACACATAAAAAAAAAAAAAGAAAGAAAGAAAGAAAGAAAGGAGGCAAGGTGCGTTTACAAAGCTTTCCAGCCTGCTGCATTCACTATTCACTGTTAAACAGTATATAGACCAGAGCATTAGCTGTGTGAACATCCAAATTATCCATTGATGTTGCTTCAACATTATAGATCTAACAAGATCCCATTTTCTCCCTTACCAAATCTCCCAGAGCTGCGTGGGGTTTCCAGGAGCTCCAGGTAAGACCATGTTGTATATCTCTTACACAGAGATGTGGGATCACCAGGAAGACTTTCTGGGTAGACTCAAGTAAACAGACAGTACCTTTCATTCATATGACTTTAAACTTCTATTTCTTTCTTTTTATTTCATAGGAGGAGAGAGAGAGAGCGTGCTTTCATCTGCTAGTTCACTACCCAAATGTCCATAATTGCTGGGACTGGCCCAGGCTGATGCCAGGAACCAGGAACTCAGTCTATGTCACCCATGATGTGGCAGGGACACCAATGCTAGAACGACCCTCTGCTACTTCCCAGAGTACACTGTGGCAGGAAGGTGAAATCAGAAGGAGAGCTGGAGCTCATACCCAGTGCTGTACCATGGGTTCTGGATTTCTCAAGAACCACTACACCAAGCACTCGCTCAACACAATTTTAGTCATTTAGCTCCAGAATTCAACATCCCTGTAAATCATGAGTCTGGTCACACTTCCTAATTAAAAATCTGTTGGGTGGAACCACCACTGTGGTATAGTAGGTTAAGCCTCTGCTTGTAGCACCAGCATCCCATATAGTTCCCCAATTCATGTCCTGGCTGCTCTACTTCTGATTCAGCTTCCTGCTAGTGGTTTGGAAAAGCAATGGAGGATGGCCCAAGTGCTTGGGCCCCTGTATCCATGTAGGAGACCCAAACCAAGCTCCTAATTCTCAGTTTAGGTCTGGTCCAGTTCTAACCATAGTGGTCATTTCAGGAGTGAACCAGCAGATAAAACATTCTCTTTCTAACTGTGTCTTTCATTTTAAAAAAAAAAGATTTATTTATTATATTGGAAAGATGGATTTACAGAGAGAAGGAGAGACAGAAACCTTTCCAATAAAAATAACCTTTTTCAACATGAGAAAATAAAACGTTGAAAGAGTGAGTGTTCCAGGAATGTTGCTAGGTTGCCTCCATGAATTTTCATCTCCTTCATTTGTCGTATTCTGAAATATGCTTGTTCATGTCAATCAACTTGACCAATTGACCATCCAAACAAATGCATGTTGTGTATGCCAATGAGGAAAAAAAGCTTAAATGCTTTATAAATTATAACATTGAAAAGCTCAACAAAGCTCCAAACAGTGAAAGTTTTCAAGACTATAACTCTTTATAGTCTTGAAACTATTAAAATAAGCCATCTGAGGAATCAATAAGTAAGCACATAATTCTCCAAAAAAGAGAACAATACCAGGATTCAATTGCAAACAGTCAAGGCTTCTTTCTTTTGCCTTCAAAAGGGTTTCCTGTAAACAAGACTGTACCTTCGTATTTTTTTTTGTTTGTTTAAGCAGAGAGACAGAGGAACACAGACAGCTTTCATCTATAGGTTCAAGACCCAAATGCCTCCTACAACAGCTGAGGCTGAACCAAGCCAAAGCTAGGAGCCTGGAACTCCATCTGGGTCTCCCACATGGGCAGCAGGGTCCCAGGGACTTGGCCCATCACCTGCAGCTTCTTAAGGCATGCATAAACAGGAAGTTGGAATGAACCCAGGCACCCAGATATGGATTCCAGTGTCCCCAGCAGTGCCCTGACAGCTGTGCCGAATGCCCACCTACTAGAAGACACATCTTTGGTCCCGTTGGTTAATTCTTTCTGTCATCTATACATTACTTAGAAATTCCATCTTGATCATTGGAGATAACTGAACAAGCAGTCACATGAGAAGTACCGCCAACCAAGTTAAAACAATTTTTAAAAAGGTGAGGTGGGTGGGGTGGGGAGAACCCCAGGACATGATGAGCACGGTTAAATGTAGTTGTGTCTTCAACTTCACAGATGTTAGAACAGCTGAGTCAGTTGGTGACTGACCACCTGGGAATCCAGCGCTGGCTCTTGAAGATGGACTCTGAGTTTGGAGGCGATGGGACAGCGTTTTGTGACATCCCTTCCCACCTCCAGTGCTACAAGTGGGCACTGAAGGAGCGTGATAAATATGGCCACGAAGATTGGAAGAAGAAATGGGCACAAGTGAGTGATGGGTAGGGACCGCAGCCTGCAGCAGCTGGGGATGGCTCAGCTTAGGAGGCCAAATGCCTAGCAGGCAGTGGGCCGTGTGTTCAGATACAGTGTGTGTTGGTATGTTTTGTATTTTCTTCCATGTCTTTTCTCTGCGCCCTGGAAGTCTTCACCTCTTCCATTTGATTGTAATCATTAGGATGGCATTTAAACAAACAAAAAGCACAGATGACAACCCAGCTTTTGACAGGTGTCAATCATATGCTTCTGACCACTGTTGTTAAGCTAGATGTGCTGTAGTAGGGGACAGAGACCCAACTCACACACGGTTTCCAGAAGCCAATGCAGAGCAGGATTCTGTCAGTACTCGTGTGTTTTTCTGAATACAACGCAATAATATGTCCCCGCAGGTCCCTGTGAGCTGCTAAGAAAATAACACCTCCTAATTCAGGAAATCTCCATGCTAGGCTAGGCACTAGATGCGACATCTCAGCACACGAGTGCCAAAGTGGAGATTTTTCCCACCTACCATGCTGAAGAGAAAAATTACACAACTCCTGAGTTCACTGCAAATATATTGTCTCATTAAAGGAACAGTGTATGGTTTAATACAAAAATGAAACCCACCATGCTAAAAGCTTCCCCAATCTGGCTCAGACCTGGTGTCATCCTGCTTCTCCCACTCCCGGCTTCCCTCACTTTTGGCTGACCTGCTGATTAAGGCATAACTGATGAGGAGAATCTAGACACGAATATCCCCTTAACGGGTGCCTGCCCCACCAGCATCCATAGCGGAAGGCTACACACAATGATCTGCACCTGCTCTGAGCAGCCCGCTATCCCAGGACATGAATCAAGAGCTGAGTGATGGAAAGGGAGGGGCCCCCAAGAGGGAACCCCATTCTTCTTGGCAAAATGAAATGATAAATAAATCCCCAGAGCAGTCAGGAGAGAGAGTTCCCTCTGACAAATGCGCTGTTCTCCCATGATCTATTCCGGGCTTCCCCCCAAGCCTTGCACCAGTGAGTGGACTAAATGCAGTACCTGTCACTGGCAGCTTTTTACATATTATTTAAAGGACACCAAAGAGAATTACTCTTCCAGGGGGAAAAAAAAAAAGAAAAGAAAGAAAGAAAATGTATTTAATTTTGAGGCCCATAGAGGTTTCCTTTCTATTCTCTCTGAACTGGGCTTCATTTCATATTGTATAGAATATCTTTTCTAAAGCAGATTTGTTGATATTTAACCATGGCATCTTTTATTATTACTATTATTATTATTATTATTTTACAAAATGTAATGTCAAGTGTTTGCTGGTCTCAATATTTCAAACTAAGAATCTTTTAAAAAATTCATTCTGACACTCAACTTTAATGAATGTGAAATGTTGATTTTCAGTTTAAAGGTTATTCAAGGCTGGGTATGTAGCTGAGCAGTGAAGACACCACCTGTGTACCCAGCCAGCCCCCCAGGTTGGAGCAACCTGAGCCCCTGCTTCCTGCTCTGCCTCCGGAAAGGCAGTGGGGATTGGTACCCATGTGGCAGGTCAGGAGTGAAGTCCCAGCTGCTGGCTTCCCCATGGCCCTGACTGAACATTGCAGTGGCATGGCAGGTGGGGGAGCGGGAGGAGCTCATATCTCAAATACCTGAATAGGTAGAACTTCCTTTAAGAAAAGGAGAAGATATTTTAAAATACTGATATCTGACTAAGTTGTATTTAAAAGCCTCGTGGTACATTATTTAATCTCAATTATCTTCAACTCTACCATTTAAGACATTTGGCACTGCTGTAATGTTATTAAATATGAAACCATTGAATAATTAATAGTCTATCTGAATCACTTTAAAAAAAACTTAACAAGGAAAAAGATGATTATTCAGAAACTATTTTTATAATCTGAGCACTGTGCTGGGAAGCTTAAAATCAAGTAGTTCAGAAAATCTATTGTTGGTTTTTGTTTTGTTTTGTTTTGTTTTTGTTTTTGTTTTGTTTTTCTGGACAGAGACCATTGACAATCTTTTGCCTTCCAAAAGAACTGCCTCATTCACTGGGTACAGCTCTGGAGAGTTCTCCTGCGTGGCAGACGCCCAATGCAACAGCCATAAACACATTCAGCCGTCAGAGCGGCACTTGATGAGCACAGGCATGTGTGAATGTCCCTGTCACAGTCTGCGCACTGGTTTCTTTTGATAATGAAGATGTTGCGTCATCAAGCCTAGCCTTGGAACCTACAAAACATATGCTGGCAGGTTATTAAAAATTTCAGCTCCTTGATGGAAGACTCTCCTGCAGGCTAACAGTCCAAGGAAAGGCTCCATTCTGGGAGAATTATTAGAAATGAGAAGCTGACTGTAAGCACTAAAATATGTTAATACTTACAAATAGCATCATTTGCATAGCAGTTTATGACATGATACCATGATTTTCCTCATTGGTATGTTGCAGGCAACAGATTAAAAAACTGTACCTGCTATTCACTGGTCAGGTCCAGGGGCGGGGGTGGAACAGTGGAGTATGTGTGGTTTGGACCATTTTGAGATGCTTTTGCACCTTATGTGGATATCGATTTTAGATCAGGATCCAATGTAGACTCAGGTACCCAATAGAAACACCACCTCTCTAAATTAGAACAGAGTTATTTGGCTGGTGGCTGTTGAGACTTGAAACAAAGTCATGGCGTCAGGAGATGATGAACAGCTATAGTTACCTGTCAGAAACCCAAGATAGACAGCAGAGGTGATTGTAAAAAAAGTGGCAAGCAAGGTGATGGGGCACAATGACAACAGAGCGCAAAGCCCCATCACTTTGTGCCCGGTTGCTTGGTGCCAAGCTGATTCTCTTCCTTTGCACTGACTCCCAAAGCCTGCTTCCCACTCCCAAGAGATTCCTGGAAGCACATATCCTTAAGTACCCAGACAGTCTGAGACTGGGTGACTGAACACCCTGTCACACACTCCCAGCTGCTGCTCCCAGCCCAGCCCAGCCCAGCCCACGGGGGGGGGGGGGGTATCGTTCTGACTTAGCAGGAATGAAAGTGTAAACAAAACAAGATTACATTTGTAGGGGAAGAGGATATGCCTGAAAACTCTCACCTAAGCCAGTCCAGTCCTTCCTTTTCCCTTTTTTTTTTTTTACTTTCCTTTTCTTTTCTTTCCTTCTTTCTCTTTTCTTCTTTTCTCCCTCTCTCCTTCCCTACCCCTTCCTTCCTTCTTTCCTTCCTTCCTTCCTTCCTTCCTTCCTTCCTTCCTTCCTTCCTTCCTTCCTTCCTTCCTTCCTTCGTTCCTCCCTCCCTCTCTTCCTTCCTTCCCCTTTCGCCTGCTAATCAGGAGAAAAGGTCCTGAAAGGACCGCTCCAGTGAAGGCCTCTGCTACCAGGCAGAGGGAGAGGTGTAAGTCTCAGGTCTCAGAGTGCCATGTGAAGACTTTATGAGAAAGCAGCTCCAACCGGTTCTTTAATGCTACCAGCAAACACAGTCACGTCAGCCTCTTTACCTTCAGTCGTGTAGTCTTTCGGTTACTTTAGCAGACATTTGATAGGAATTTAGGGATTGCCAGAGAGGAAAAGAAAACAAATTCAAGGCACCCACACCTAGAAAGGCCACACTGCTGTGTAACCACCATCCCCAAACACAGCTGCCCTCACTCCTGCGCGTTGATTGGCAGATCAATGCATGATATTTGTATCTCATGGCTGCAGTGTCATCTCTAAAACCACCAAGTCTGTGCACAGTCATCCCAGTGAGTAGCTCTAGAATATTCCTGCTTATTCCTGAATATATTAACTTATTTCACTAAACTAGACATTTAGATCATTTCTAGCCTGCTTCTTTTTTTTTTAATTTTATTTATTGTTTTATCAGAAAGGCAGAGTTACAGAGAGAGGAATCTTTCATCTGCTAGTTCACTCCCTAAATGGCCACAACAGCCAGAGCTGAGCCGATCCAAAACCACGAGCCAGGAGCTTCTTCCTGCAGGGTCCCATGGACTTAACCCATCCTCTGCTGTTTTCCCAGCTGTTGTGGGCATTTGGAGAGTGAACCCTCAGATGAAAGATATCTCTCTGTCTCTTTCCCTCTCTTCCTCTTTTTCTTCCTCTCTCCCTAAAAATAAAATAGCAGGGTTTTTTTAGATACATTAGCAGTGAGACGGATGGGAAGTGGAGCAGCCTGGAATCGAACCAGTACTTAAATGGTATTCCAGTGCCACAGATGGAGAATTAGCCTGCTATGCCAACATACCAGCCACCAGCTCTCTTCTTAGAAAAAGAAAGGTGAAGTGATAAGGAGAGAGACACAGAGCTGTTTTATCCTCTGACTTACATTCTTTGAATGTCTACCATAGCCAGGGCTGGGCCGGGCTGAAGCCAGCAGCCAGAAGGAACTCCAAATTGAGTCTCCCACATAGATATGGTAGAGGCCCAAGAACTTGGACCATCTTCTGCTGCCTTCCCAGTGCAGCAGCAAGGAGCTGGATCAGAAGTGGAATGGCCGGGACTCCAACTGGCTCTTGGATAGAAGCAGCTGGCTTTGAAAGAAGCAGCTTAACCCATTGTGCCCCTCCACCCAAGCCCAGTCTTCCTTATTGGTGGTGGGGGGAAGCAAGAGGGAGAAAAGATTTGTTTGGGTTTTGGGGTTATTTGGTTTGCACCTCCTTTTGCTTTTCATTCAACTGCGGGAGAACTCTGAAGTCCTTTCTGGTCATACCAGCATGATAAGGAAGATGTTGCAATTCTGTATACAGGCGCAGAAATCCATCCTTGGAAAGTGCCATGACTTGCCCAGGTTCCCAAGGAACCCACAACTGACTTCTCCTTGCCCTGTGTGTTTGCCCCCCCCCCAGTGGAGTTCCTTAGAAAAGAGCCTTTTATTTGCTAGTCCTGAAGGAGAACTCTCCCTCAAGTGCTGCCTTTATAATCCCCAGAACTCAGTGCTTGCTAGCAACCCAACTGCTTGACGCACCTGTTCATGTACATGGCCGGCCCTGGGACCTTCGAGGACAGGTTTTCTGTATCC